TGTGTGTGGGTGGTGTGGGTGGGTGTGTGTGTGGGTGTGTGTGTGTGTGGGTGGGCGCGGGCGGGCGCGGCGGCGCGCGCGGCCGCCCACCTACATTCCATATTTGTGTGTGGTCAGAGGTCAACTTTGTGGAATCAGTTCTTTCCTTCCATGATTATGGGGGATCTTGGGATTAAACACAATAAGTAGTTTTACCACCTAAGCCAATTTACTGAGCCCTAAATACATTTTTTTCTTTCCCGTTTTGGTCTTAATTTTTTTTTATTATTATTATTATTTTTTTAAGATTTTATTTATTATACAGCATTCTGCTTCCATGTATGTTTGCACACCAGAAGAGGGCACGAGAGCTCATAAAGGATGGTTGTGAGCCACCATGTGGTTGCTGGGAATTGAACTCAGGACCCCTGGAAGAGCAGTCAGTGCTCTTAACCTCTGAGCCATCTCTCCAGCCCCTGGTCTTAATTTTTTTGAGAGAGGGTTTTTCTATGTAACCCTGGCTGTCCTGGAACTCACTCTGTAGACCATGCTGGCCTTCAACTCAGAAAGATCCTCTTGCCTCTGCCTGCGGAGTGCTGGGATTAAAGGCATGGGCCACCATGGTAGCCTGGGCCTACTGAGGTCAGCTTTGGTGAATGCATCTGTGTGTGTGTGTGGGGGGGGGATAGATGTAATAAAAAGGTTATTTTGAACCCTTCAAAATAATGTACTTTGACTGGGCATATGCCTTAGTTGGTAGGGTTTTTGCCTGGTGTGATAGGCCCTGGGTTCAGTCCCTAGCACCATATAAATCCAGGATGTGTCCCCTGCTTATAATGCTAGCACTTGGTAGATGGAGGCAGTAGTTCAAGACCATCATAGGCCACTTAGAAAATTTGTGGCCAGTCTGGGACATAGGAGATCATGTTGTTGCAGATTATTATTATTATTAATAAATTATTTTGGTTTTTTGAGACAGGGTTTCTCTGTATAGCTTTGGAGCCTATCCTGGCATTCACTCTAGAGACCAGGCTGGCCTCAAACTCACAGAGATCCAACTGCCTCTGCCTCCGGAGTGCTGTTCTGGGATTAAAGGCATGCACCACCAATGTCTGGCCAGAATATTATTTTTTAAGGTGTTACATTTGTTAATGCTCTGAAACATTTGTTTCAATGATGCAATGATGTGTTGCATTCCTTTATGTTGCATTTGTTTAACTCTGTGAAGCTGTGTTACTTCCAGTGTTCAAAACACTTGATGGTCTAATAAAGAGCTGAACAGCCAATAGTGAGGTAGGAGAAAAGATAGGCAGGGCTGGCAGGCAGAGAGAATAAATAGGAGGAGAAATCTGGGAAGAAGGAACAAGACAGAACAAAGAAGAGGACTTCAGGGGCCAACCACCCAGCCACCCCATGGAGTAAGTGTGAGATTAAGATTTACAGAAGAAAAGGAAAAAAACAAAAGACAATAGGTATATGGGATAATAATTTAAGAAAAGCTGACTAGAAACAAGCCAAGCCAAACCGGGCTTTTATAATTAAGAATAAGCAGTGTGCAAGCCAGGTGTTGGTGATGCACACCTTTAATCCCAGCACTCAGGAGGCAGAGGCAGGTGGATCTCTGAGTTCAAGACCAGCCTGGTCTACAAGAGCTAGTTTCAGGACAGCCTCCAAGCCACAGAGAAACCCTGTCTCGAAAAACAAAATGTGTTTTTCAAAGATTTAATTATCTGTATAGGAATATTGTCTTAAGAGGCTAGAATACAGCATCAGATCTTCTGGAACTACAGTTACCATAGTTGTGAGCCGCCATGTATAGGAATCATCTTTCTAGCCCCCTTCTGATGTCTTTAAAAATTATTTTTAAAATTCTGGGGCAAGTGTAATAGCTCCGTTGTTGTCGAACTTACAACCTGAGTTTGATCCCCAGGACCCATGGTGGAAAGAGTAAACAAATTCCCATAATTCCCACAAGTTGTTCTCCAACCTCCACAGTGCTTCTACACATGTACACCTACACACATACTCATACACATAATGCAATAATGAACATCTAGTTTGGGGGCTCTTAAATTAATTTTTTAAGTTCCAAAGTAGTGGATTTATTATGTCATTTTCGTATTCATTTCACTCTGCTTTGTTATCATTTGTGCCTTCATACTGTATGGATAAATGTCAAGGGCCCTGATAAACCCTAAAATACAAAAGATACCTGTGACTATGTTTTTTTATTGTCTACAGTGGCTACCCAGTAAGCAATGGCTTTCCTGCAAGGGCTGCTGCCTGAGAGGATTCTGTTCTCTCAGTCACCTACTCTTTCAAAGCTATTTAGGGAAACTTTATCTCATCTAAAGAACTCACAATTCAAGGTTTGAGGTTGAATTCTGCTGGCCCAGAGAGGCTGAATAGCAAGGAGCTAACCTCCTTTGCTGGCATAGTCTCTCTGCCCCCACTTAAAAACCCTTGCTACATGTGATTTCTCCTTACCACTTCCTGTCAGCTACTTGCTGACTCAGCCTCCTGCTAGAAGGTTAATTTTATTTAATCAAACACATCTTTGAACAGATAGATATCCCTTCAAAGCAAAAAGTTAGCCTTCCCCAATTGTGTATAGAACTGGTCTATATTAAAACATGTTTAATGACTTCCCCAGGATTACGTCTTCATTAACTTAGAGGTTAAGCACTTGATTTTTATTTTATTTTGCTTTATTTTACTTTTAGGGTTTGTGAAACAGGACCTCCTGACAATCAATCCCTCAATGATAATCAACAAAGGGACTGTGAATATTTTGTTGACAGCCTTTTTGAGGAAGCAGAGAAGGTTGGGGCCAAATGCTTGTCCCCCACTGAACAGAAGAAACAGGTAAATGTTACTTAGTGACCTCTAGGAGGATCCCTGAAGTCAAAACTACTTTTGTAATAGTAAAGCTATTATTTACCATTTTCATTATGTTGAATTTGCACAGGTGTCAGAAAAGCAACAGTGAGTAAAGTTGTTGGCATCTGAGCAGGAAGCAAAACCAGCAAAACCAAGTTATAAACTGTTATATTACTTACTTGAATTTACAAACCAAATAAATGATGCTTCTAGTTAAGAATGTCTGTGATGGAGCTGAGGAGGTAGCTCAACTGAGAGAATGCTTACATAGCAGACACAAAGCTCTGCATTCAACCCAGCATTTTGTAAACTGGGCATGCTGATATGAATCTGTAATCCCGACACTCAGGAGATGGAGAGTCAGGAGAACTGGAAGTCTGAAGTTGTCCTCAGCCACATAATTAAGTCAAGGCTGGAATATTCAGGATGCAAGGTTTACGTGGCAGGCACTTTAAATGTGAGGAGCTAGATTGGGACTCCCAGCTGCCACATACATAAAAAACCAAAAGACTCATTCCCAGGGCTGGAGATGCAGAGAGACAGACCATCCCTGTGCTGGGTGGCTAGCCAATCTAGCTGAATTGGTGAACTCCAGGTTCAGTCAGAGATATTTCAGTCATGATAGTACCAATTATAAACATTGATGAATTATAGTTTAAAAAGTAAACAAAACCTGGAAATGGAACACATTTATATATTCATTTATTTATTTATGGTTTTTCAAGACAGGGTTTCTCTGTAGCATTGGAGCCTATCCTGGCACTCGCTCTGGAGACCAGGCTGGCCTCGAACTCACAGAGATCCGCCTGCCTGCCTCTGCCTCCCAAGTGCTGGGATTAAAGGTGTGTGCCACCAACACCCGGCTCGGAGCACATTTATTTATTTTATGTGTTTGAATGTTTTGTCTGAAGGTATGTATATGTATATCTACCACATGTGTGCTGGCTGCCAACAGAGAGAGCCAGTTCTCCTGGAACTAGACAGAGTTACAGATGTTTAGTGGAGCAGGTCCTAGGAACCAAACCAACAACGAGTACTCCTAACTGCCTAGTGGTCTTTTTTTTTAATAATTTATTTAACTTTATATATATTGGTATGAAGGTGTCAGATCCCCTGGAACTGGAGTTACAGACAGTTGTGAGCTGCCATGAGAGTGTTGGGAATTGGACCTGGGTCTTCTGAAAGAGCAGCCAGTGCTATTAACTGCTCAGCCAACTCCCTAGCCCTTTATTGGGATGGGATAAAATAACAATTAAAGAAGACACGGACTTCAAGTTCTGGCCTCTACATGCAGCATACACACACCCATTAGACTTGGCTATTTTGGCAGGCATTTCCACAGAAAAATTAAGTGAGCCTGGTACTTCAAGGGAGACAACTTAAAACTGTATTTGTTACAAATGCAAAGATTTTACTTAGTCAACTTTTAACCAGAATAGGAATTTGAAGAAATCTCTTTCATGCATTTGACAGCTTTTCAAACTTACAGAATTTCCTCTTGATGTTAGTGTTATTTTAATAGCTATAATGTCTATCAGATAAGGAAATACATTAGCATTTAGATTTTCAAGGCTTCAGGAACCACTATTTTCTAAATGACTAATATGTTATTATAAAGTCATTCATTAGCTGGGTGTGCTAGTGAAAGCCTGTGAACTCAGGTAGGAGGATCTGGAGTTCAAGGCCAGTCTAAGCTATTTAGTGAGCTCAGGATCAACCTTTCTTACAATTCATGCCTGCCTTTACTGCCTTTTAGGTAGATATAAATATAAAATTGTGGAAAAATGGATTCACAGTCAATGATGACTTTAGAAGTTACTCTGATGGTGCAAGTCAGCAGTTTCTGAACTCCATCAAAAAGGGGTAAGCAGGATATATATATATATATAGTAGAAGGGTACTTCAGGCTAGTTTCTTATGAAAGAATCATTGATCTTTATCTTTCTCCCCATCCCCTATCCCTCCCCTCTCACTCTCCCTCCAGGCTAGCCTTAGACTCAACAGTACACTGCCATCTTGTTTTCTCAGAACTGGGATTAAAGACCATGCCCACCCCAAACCCCTTTTGTTGTTGTTTTACTTTTTTTTGAGACACAGTTTCTCTGTGTGACAGTCCCTGCTATCCTGGTACTGTAAATCAGGCTGGCCTTGAGCTCACAGAGATCCTTTTGCCTCTGCCTCCCTAGTGCTGGGATGAAAGATGTGGTCCACCATGCCTGGCTTGTAGTGCCTTTTTTATTTTTTTTAAATTGACATTTTCCTTAGAGAGCCATAACTAATTTTTTTGTTTTATTGGTACTGGGTCTCAAAATACAATATTGGCTAACCTGGAGTGTACTATGTAGACCAGACTGGCCTCAAGTGGAATTATGGGCATGCACCAATAAGCCCAGGATACAGCTATAATTTTGAAGTTTAGGAATTTGAATTCTGATCCATCAAAGTCTTGCCACTTATTCCTTAATGCCATACAAATAAGTACATATACGTGCACACACACAATAAAACTTTTTAAATTAGCATCATGTTGCAGTGGTGGCGCACACCTTTAATCCCAGCACGTGGGAGGCAGAGGTAGGCAGATCTCTGAGTTCGAGGCTAGCCTGGTCTACTAGTTCCAGGACAGGCTCCAAAGCTACACAGAGAAACCCTGTCTGGAAAGAAAAACAAAACAACAACAAAAAAGTAGCAGTGTGTAATCAAGTATTATGAATTTAATACTATTCTAGGTAATGCTATAAAACTGGACATGTATCTATTTATTTATACATATAAGACACCCCTGTGTGCTACAGTGTCCATATTGGAAGTCAGAAGACACTTGGCAGGGGTTTGTTCTCTCCTTCTACCATATGGGTTCCAGAGATGAAACTCTTATTAGGCTTGGTAACAAGTACCTTTACCAGCCCTATATATTTTTACAAGGGTCTGTTGTAGTCTAGGCTGACCTCCAACTTGCTTTGTAGTCAAGGAGAACCTTGAACTTCTGATCATCCTGCTTCCATGTCCCAAGTGCTGGGATTGTAGTGTGTACCACCATGGCTTGCTTATATGCTGCTAAAGACCTGCACATGCTAGCCAAGTGCCCAGCCAGCTAAACTACCTCCTTAATCCATACATTATACTTCTACAAATCATGTAGTTCTTTTGGCATATGGAATATGTATCTCAGAAAAAGGGAAAATAGGAACTTCTTTTTTTTTTTTTTTAACTACTCATATTTACATATCCATTCCCCATTCCCTCGTCCTCCCCTCCTCCCATGTTCCCCACCCACACCCCACACCCCACAGGCCTCCCCACTTCTCCCCAGGGATAGTGAAGCCCTCTACCAAGGACCTTCAAAGTCTGTCATATTGTTTGGGGGAGAGTGTAGGCCCTCCTTGCTGTATCTGGCCTGCAATAGTATCCCTCCATAGGGAATGGGCTCCCAAAGCCTATTTGTGGGAAAACAGGAACTTTATCGTTTTCTTTTCTTTCAAAGGGAATTACCTTCAGAACTACAGGGAATTTTTGATAAAGAAGAGGTGGATGTTAAAGTTGAAGATAAAAAAAATGAAGTATGTATGTCTACAAAGCCTGTATTCCAGCCCTTCTCAGGACAGGGTCACAGACTAGGAAGGTAAGTATGGTTATTGTGACAGACGTTTTCTCATTATTCTAACCATATAGAACTTAGTATTTCTTTAGGAAGTATTTTCTGAATTTTTTTTTTTTTTTTTTTTCCTGATGCTGGGGCTCTAACCTAGGGCCCATAAAACATGTAAGGCAAATAGTTAAAACTGAAATAAATCCCAAGCTCCCAAATGAGATTTTTTTTTTTTTTTTTAATGCTGATTTGGTTTTGGTTAGCTTGTTTTAGGCAGGGTCTTCATATGACCAAGGATGGCTTTGAACTTCTGATCCTTCTGCCTCCACCCCTCTAGTGCTGTGATTATAATGTTTGCCATATGATTGGTTTTATGGGGTATTGCAGATTGGACCGAGAATTTGCGTATGCTAAGAAGCATTCTAACAACTGAGTACATACCCAGACCCTTATTTTCATTTATTACTAGTAGGAAGGTGTATACATTTTCAGCTTTACATATGGAAACTTGTAGGTATACCTTTTAAAATACTTTGCTTTTTTCCCCTTGATTAATCAAGGGCTAAACTCTACAGAGAAAATAATTCTTTTAGAGACTCATCCTGTACCCCAGGTAATGCTAATTTACATGTCATTCTGTAAGTTTACAGATTAATTGGGTATGCATAATTTTATTTAACTCCTAGAGTATATATGTTATGAACATAACTAACATGTTTATTACAAAGAGAGGAGTTGTGACTTAAAAAACTCTTCCTAGAAACTGAATGTAAAATTTTTATAATGAGAAAACATGTGTCTGACTTTATTATTCACATTTTCTTAGTGCTACACCAAAAGTCATTTCTAAAGCAAAGAGTATTGAAGTTGAAAATAAAAGTACTTTGTCTGCTGTTCCACTGAACAACTTGGAGCCCATCACCAGGATCCAGATCTGGTTGGCCAATGGGGAAAGGACTGTCCAAAGATTTAATGTTTCTCACAGGTCAGTCCTGATTCTGTGCTTGACTGATTTGTTTTCCAATTTTAAATTTTGTCTCTTCTTTTAAGTTTAGATAACACTGATTTTTGAGAACTAATGAAGGCTTTTTAAAATAGCTCTCCCAAGTTTAATGTGTCAATCAACATAGGATTCTTAGACTCAACTATGTTTAGTCAGAGGTATTTTTTGCTTTGTTTTGGAGTTTTTAAAGCCAGTATCATGGAGCTGGAGAGATGGTTCAGCAGTTAAGAGCACTGACTGTTCTTCCAGAGGTCCTGAGTTCAATTCCCAGCAACCACATGGTGGCTCACAACCACCCTGAATGAGATCTGGTGCCCTCTGCTGGCATGCAGGCAGAAGACTGTATGCATAATAAATGAATAAATAAAATCTTTAAAAAAAAAAAAAAAAAAAGCCAGTATCATGTTGACTGGGGCTTCCATACTGAAGTAAGTTCATTCTCTCTATTATTTCATTGCCGAGTACCTCATATCCATTAGGCATATATGCCCTACCAGTAAACTACAGCCCAGACCAATTTTTGTCTGTCATATTCTACCATACATAAATAATTGTTTATCCATTTTATCCATTGGCAACAATCCAAGTTTAAATTTATTTATACAGATGTGTCAGTCCCCCTGCTGCACAGTACAGTCACAAAATCCCACAAAACATGATACTGAGTTTTAAAAAGTTATAGAACAGGGCAGGGTGTGGTGGTATAGACCTTCGTGCTGGGGCTTGGGAGGCAGAGGCAGTAGATCTCTGAGTTAGGCCAACCTGGTCTACATAGTGAGTTTCAGGCCAGGCCAGCCAAGGCTACACAGTGAGACCCTATTTCAAAAAAAAAAAAAAAAAAAAAGTTACATAACAAGTTCGCTATAATTGTACAATCTTTGTCTTGTGTTTTCTGGTATGGCTTTGTGGATCTCAGCTGGGCTCATTTCCAGGTCACTGACTCTGGGTCTGTTCTTCTGTCTCCCACTTTCTTAAACCAACAAAGGAGCTGGCCCTGTTCTTGTAGCAGAGGTAGAGGCACAAGATGCAGTTAGTCTCCTTTGAGTAAGAGTGCTCTTGTGTTACTCAGTATTATACTCTACTGGCCATGTTCTGTTTGTACAGAAGACGGTCTCTCTGTCTTCTCTCCCCTGCCATGGTGTCCATTTTAAATCAGATGCTTGCAGCTGCTCTGGACTCTCCATTATGTGTTTGTTGTTGTTGTTTGTTTGTTAATTTTTTGAGACAGGGTTTCTCTGTGTAATAATCCTGGCTGTCCTAGAACTCTCGTTGTAGACCAGGTACCTCCCAAGAGCTGGGATCAAAGGCGTGTACCACCACTGCCCAGGTGATCTGTTGGTTGCCCAGGTTTTCTTGGTTGGTTTGTTTTTATGTTTTTTTTAACTTTATTTTATGTGTGTTGATATGAAGGTGTCCAATCCCCTGGAACTGAAATTACTGATAGTTTTGAGCTGCCATGTGGGTCCTGGGACTTGAACTCAGGTCCTCTGAAATAGTAGCCATCTCTCCAGCCCCTGATCTGTTTATCTTTATGCCAGATCCACATTGTTGTTGTTTTCTTTTAATTATTGCTTCCCCACATACACAGCCAATGCTCAGGATTTAACCCAGGGCTTCCTTCATGATACTACCTAGCACTTTCACTTTATCAGTTACAAGAGGATTATACTAAAATCACCAATTAGAAATGTGTCTATTTTACCTTTTAATCTCTTAGTGTGTTTGCTTGCTTGAGGCATTTTCTTTCCTCCCTACATCTGTGTTTTTATGAGCTGGGGTCTCACTCTTTTTCCATGCTCAGTTTTGAACTCCACACCCACCCTGCTCTGTATATCTTAAGCTATGTCCCCCTGAGGCAAAATTCTTGTATTTTTCTGAATAATGTACCTCATAGGGGATTAAAGCATGTCTTCCTCACCATTAGTAGGCTAAGATCTCTAGTGTAAAATTTTTAGCTGGCTTACAGTGTTTATTAAGTGGATGGTTAGTCAGCTTGCATGGGCCATTTGCTTGTTTGTATCCCAGGTTGACCTGGAATTTTCTATAATTTAGGGTGACTTTCAGCTCACAATACTGCCTTAGCCACCCTTGTGCTAGGAATACAGGCTTGTACCACCATGTCCATATAGGATTTGTTTTTTTGTTTGATTTGGGTTGGGTTGGGTTTTCCAAGACAGGGTTTCTCTGTGTAGCCCTGGCTGTCCTGGAACTTGAATTGTAGACCAGGTTGGGCTCTGCCTCCCAAGTGCTGGAATTAAAGGCATGTGTGTCGTCACCACCCGGCCTTTTTTGAGAACAGGGTCTTATCTTACATCCCATTGTGTAATTCAGGCTGGCCTCAGACTAATGGAAGTCTTCCTGTCCCACCCAACCTTCTGAATGATTGGATTGTAGTCGTGTACCACCCATCATACCAAACTTTAGACTTTCCTTTTACCAATTGGAATGCTTGTTCTGTGTTTTTCAGGGATATATCTTTTATTTTTATTTATTTATTTATTTTGGGTTTTCGAGACAGGGTTTCTCTATGGCTTTGGAGGCTGTCCTGAAACTAGCTCTTGTAGACCAGGCCGCCTTGCATGCCTTTGATCCCAGCATTCAGGAGGCAGAGGCAGGCAGATCTATGTGAGTTCGAGGCCAGCCTGGTCTACAGAGCGAGTGCCAGGATAGGCTCCAAAGCTACACAGAGAAACCCTGTCTCAAAAAAAAAAAAAAAAAAATCCAAATATCTATACAAGTTGATGCTACCTTAAATTAGCTACTTCAGGTTTTCATAAATTAATAGTTTGTGGTATTTTGCAGGGTGAGCCACATCAAAGACTTCATTGAAAAATACCAAGGATCTCAGAGAAGCCCCCCGTTTGCCCTGGCAACAGCTTTTCCTTTCCTCAGACTTCTGGATGAGACACTCACATTGGAAGAAGCAGATTTGCAGAATGCTGTGATCATTCAGAGACTCCAGATAACTTCGGAGCCTTTTAGAAAACTCTAACAGTTTTGATTTTTGAGAGACAGGGAAATGATGGTTGGAAGTGGACATGCAGAAGTGGGAGACAGAAGACAGTTTGATTGAGCTTGAGGTTTGAGTGCTGCTTAATTCCTTATGAGGGGCTTAAATAATCACAAGTTAGAGAATAATGTATAGCTGGAAACCAGTTAATGTACATTTCTCAAAGGCCACTCAGAAAAAAAGTATTTTCAAATACTTATTATAGTTAACCAATATATATTAAATAGCTGTATCATTAATCTTAATGTGTTCTAAAGTAGCAAAATATCCACAGCATTAGCATTGAAACATTATTTCCAAACAGCAGATTATTAATATAAATGTTAGCTATCTCAGTTTTAAATAGCAACACTTAAAATATTGTACATGACTTGTTAAAAACACCAATGTAATTATTATGTTGCCTAAGCCTTCTCAGATTTCACTCTATGATGGCAAGAGATATTCAAATATTAATTTGGCAATAGTATCCAAGATATATAATATTTTAGGAATAAAATCGTGTAGCTTAGTACAATGTCAGTATTGGGTGCCTACATACTTTTCTATACCTTTTATATGTAATTTTATGGGCTGGGGATGTAGTTCAATAGTAGAGTATTTGCCAAGTAGTTATGAGACTTTAGGTTCAGTCAGTCCCC